CCATGGTGGAATAAAACGTTAGCCAAGCTAAAAGTCGAATCCCGAAGACTCTTCAACAAGGCAAAAACCAACGGTGAATGGGACAATTATAAAAATGCTCTCACCGCCTACAATAAAGAAATTAGAAGGGCAAAAAGAGAATCATGGAGAGGCTTTTGCTCAGAGATTCAAAAGTGAAGCAGTAGCGCAAAAATCCAAAGGGTCATCTCGAAAAGCCACACTAATCCCATTCCCAATCCCAAGCCAACGACCTGATGGTCTTTATACCAATGACTGCAAAGAGTCACTTATACTTCTAACAGAAGTACACTTTCCGGGATCTACAATTTACGACCAATCAATCTCCCAGCTTAGTTCCCTGGTGGCCAAAAGGCCCAGAAACAATGACAGGAAGACTGCTCGTAAAATCTTCACTGAAGATAAAATTAAATGGGCGATCAACTCATTTTCTCCTTTCAAAGCCCCTGGAGCAGACGGAATATTTCCAGCACTCCTACAAAAGGGACTAACTCACCTTATGCCCTACCTCATTAATATCTTTAGAGCTGGGCTGGCGATGGGAATCATTCCCACTAATTGGAAGGAAGCAATTGTCAAATACATACCTAAAGGAGGAGGTAAACCTAGCGAACTTCCTAAATCCCATAGGCCTATAAGTTTGACTACATTTCTTTTAAAAACTATGGAGAAGATAGTGGAAAGGCATATAAGGGAAGAGTATTTATCTATAAATCCACTCCACGGCAACCAGTACGCCTACCAACAAACTAAATCCACCACACATGCATTACTCAGTCTTACTAATAAAATACAGGAGTCTGTAGATTGCAAAGAATTTGCGGTGGGATGCTTTCTTGATATTGAGGGAGCGTTTGACAATACTGATCACTCACATATCGTAAGATGCCTCCATGACAGAGGAGTAGATGATACGACACGCACATGGATAAGCAATGTACTAAGAAATAGAATAAATCCATTCTCGGCAATGCCGAAATAAAAGCACATACTCTAAGACGATGCCCACAAGGGGGTGTATTATCCCCACTCCTGTGGTCAATTGCAGTGGACGAGCTCTTGCATGGACTCAGTGTCAAACATTTCGAGGCACAAGGCTATGCTGACGATATAGTCATACTTGTCAGGGGTAAATATGAAGACATGATCCCATATTGACTTCAGCAAGCCCTGAACATCGTAAGTAGATGGTGCAATGAAGTAGGATTAAATGTAAATCCTAAGAAAACAAGTCTGGTAGTCTTCACAAGGAAAAGGAAAAGAGTACTTTCCAATTACCCATTCCTGAATGGAGAAAAGCTATCAGCCGTTACCCAAGTAAAATACCTGGGAATGATTCTGGATGAGAAGTTGACGTGCAATGCTCATGTAGACAATGTTATACGAAGAGCCAGAGAGGCATTATGGACCAGCAGAAACCTCATTGGTAAGCACTGGGGCTTTAATCCAAAACTCAGCCTTTGGATGTACACATCTATTGCCAGACCAATTGTAACTTATGGATCAGCTATCTGGTACAAAAAAGCACAACAGAAGACTGTTATAGATAAACTTCGTAAGCTGCAGATATTAGCCTGCATAATGACAAGTGGAGCGATGAGAACTACCCCGACAGCAGCCCTAGAGTTTGCATTGGAGCTCCCCCCACTTCACCTACTAGTCAAAAAGGAAGCAATGATTTTTATGGCCAAGCTACAGTTGACTAACAATCAATCAACAAGACTACTCGATAACTCCCTGTTAGGTAGGGAAATGCAAAGAGAGGAAGGACTAAATATCACCATATCTGACATTTGCTTACCTAAATTCAACTTTCACCAAAAGTTTCTAATACTAATACCAGACAGAAATGAATGGGAACGGAACATACCTCCATTCGCTGGAGACTACCATCTGTGGTACACGAATGGCTCCAAAACGATGGAAGGAGTGGGGGCGGGAGTATATGAAGTAAGACCTAAAGAGGAAATATTTGCGAGTATGAGTAAAGAAAACTCAGTTTTTCAGGCTGAAGTACACGCAATTCAATTATGTCTCAGGGTATATAAAGGTAAACCCGTCACAGGAAAAAACATATATATCTTTTCTGACAGTAAATCGACACTCCTGGCACTACGCTCACCTCGAGTAACCTCAAAAATAGTCTGGGAATGCCTTCTACTTCTCAAAGACCTTGCTGAAAGGAACAGAGTCCACTTAATATGGATTCCAGGGCACAGCGGTTTTGAGGGAAACGAAAAAGCAGATGAACTAGCGAGAAAAGGGGCGGCCTCATACTATATTGGGCCACA